TTAATATATGCAAAGTGAAATATTGGGTGTAAAAGTGAACTCATCTCCATGATCAAAATATATCATAAATGACATACGACAGATCGAGAGGCTGCAGTAGGTGAACTGTCATGGGGAAGCTCAGCAGCTGCAGCAGAGAAGAGCGAAGGATAGTAAACCCAAAAAACCTCACAACCTCCACACACCCCCTCATTCCTCTCTCTACCAATGAAACAGGAGCCGTCTGTCTCTCCTGCAACAGATATTAACCCCGAGGTTGATTTCATCTGAATAGCAGCGGGGCTCAGAGGAGCTGTTCCATCAGCTACAAACCCCTCCCTTGGCTCTGACTCTGGATTCTGCATTGAGATTTTTTCACCATGCTGCAGAGGTCCATGTGCTCGTTAACGAGCTGAAGTCGGCAGCTGATTTGTGTGAGGAGCACGTCTCTATGGGCACATTTGACGGTTGCTGTCCTGCTGGATGGCTTCTCGTTACAAGCAATTCATTCACTGTCAACAATGGGTGTCGCATGGAAAGCACTGTGGCTGAGGTTGGGTCTGATGGATGCCTATTAAAGATATTTCGACTGTTTACCACCGCAATCACAGAAATAAACTTTGTGGTCAATTTTGATTAAGATAGAACTGAGCAAAACATGTGAAACAGCCCATAGAAAAATCCTGAAGTTGCAGGATTTGCATTGAAAGTTACATAAGTTAGGCACAAGGCTTTTATATTTAATGAGCTTTGCTTAAGTGTAGTTTTAATATGAGGCCTAGATACACAAGTGCCCCAGTCCGTAGTACTATTACAATAGGCCTGGCTTTGTTACGGAGAACTTTATCCTATGTAAGCTGTACAAGTCACAAATCATCTGAGACACTACATCCTGAGGCAAATTCAATACAGGCTCATTTATTTAACAGGCTCACAGACTTTATGGTCATTGACTTAATCCTATTAGCTGTGTTTTTTTTCCTCTACAGTTTTATTCATCCCCCAAGACAAATTTCTAAAACATGTCCATTCAAAGCTACTACAAGTCCACATCCTCCTCCACAGTACGTCCGCAAGCTAAAGTGTAAAGCACAACCAAGTAGAGGTCACGAAACATGTCTCACTACCCTCAGTCAACTAAGATAAGGTTCATTGTAAATAATCATACCGTATATAATAATTCATAACAATGCTTATACTGAAGTGTTTTTTGAAGTGGAAAGGAATGGATGAACCTGATGTAAAGGACGGAAATTCTACTGTGGTCAGGAACTTGGAAAGCATACCTCAGAAGTGCTAAATACGAGATCGGGAGAATTTCTATTGCCTCCCAATGGCTCTCAACATGGTGGCTGAGCCAGTGGCTAGCAGCTAACAGCGCAGACAGTGCAGAGCTAACAGAATTTACCTGAAGGGGAACTGGAGGGTGGGCGCTACACTTTGACCCAACACAACAACGCTGTCAGTCAGAACGTCACTATCAGCTGTAACCGGCGTATGTGCAGAACGGCGGCCGTGAGGTAGCCAGTGGGGTACGAACATGCAGCAAAAAGCCCACGTGGTGCAGAGAAGCTCGGACTACAACAGACACAAAGGGAGAGTGACTTCCTCCTCTGCTCAGGTAGACATTACTTCAATATATCTTTACACAGCAGATAGTTGTTTGCTGCTATATTAATGCTCTGAATATTGAATTCAGCACCTTTTAAGTTCATAAAAAAATGATAATTATTCATTATCTGAGGTTTGAGATTATCATTTCTGCATTGATTGAAGTGGAAACCAGGAGCAGATCACAGAGACAGGTCTCATCAAAGAAATGCACTCAAACACTGAGCTCACTCCTCCCCAACATCAAGGCCTTAGATGACACAGGCCACCAAGGTCATCTCACATGAACTAGCATGAAACACTCAACCATAGACCTTTTCCTGTTAAGTCCCCCTGCTCAGTGATGCTGCAGTGTGGACAGTGATTCTGGGGGAAACAGCTGAAACCAATCTCCCTGCATTCCCTGTTGACACAGCCAGTACGAAGCAGACACACATTCTACCTGACAGCCATACAAAAGAATGCAAATAGCTTTAATACTAAGAGCAGTTTTGGTTATAGTACAGTGTGAAGGAATATAACATATACAACTGCTTCTACATTAGGCAGAAACAACAGACACACCTTTAAATAAAACAGGTATAAAAAGAAATATCATCCGGAACCGGTGAATGTCCATCAAAGGTTTGATATATCTTTGAACATACCTTATATTTCTGTAACTGCAATTTGACATACATAACCAAGGATAAAGGGGTATTTAATTAATATTCAACAAGGTCCGGTTAAAGAGAATTTCCTCACGCAAAGGTCCGGAACATTACAGTAATGTCTAACGTGCACTATGATTTGTAGCAAACAACTATCAGCAGTGCAATGATATAGTGGAGTAATGTGACGACGACTGTTCGGTCCCCTGCTCCTCCAGTTCATGTAGATGTGTCCTTGGGCAAGACACTTAACTCAATCGCTCCCAGAGGCTGTATCTATGGTGAATGCTTAGATAGTCCTGATGGGCTGGTGGCCCCATGCATGGTAGACCCTGTTATCAGTGTATGAATGGGTGTGAATGGATGAATGAATGAATGACAGGTAGTGTGCTTTACGTGGTCGGAAGACTAGAAAAGGCACTACACAAGTACAAGTCCATTCACCATTTTAACTGAGCAGAGAATGAAGTCACTCTCCCTCTGTGTTATTTGTGCTTCTCTTCGGAGGTTACAGCTGATAACGCCGTCCAGACAGACAGCGTCGCCATGAAAGCGTAGAACCCCCCCCCCCCCCCCCTCCTGTTCCCCCTTCCTCCAAGATTAAGACTGTTAGCTCTGTCAGTACTTTCGCAGCAGTTTGCGCTGTTAGCACTGTTAGCTATTTGCCGCCAGCTCGCCGTCAGCATGTTGAGCCGTTGAGAGGCAATTCAAATGCTCCCAATCTGTATGTGACACACGGGGCTATTAACTAACTCTGTTATTTTGAGACTTTGCAAGTTCACGACACGTCTATAAAGTCCGTGACACGTCTTCAGTATAAACTAAAAAGATGGCTTAAAGCAAACCAAACCTGCAATCACGAGTAATCAAACTACCTCATCTCTGGCACAGCCATTGTATACTCTCCTTGTTTTTACAAATCTGCTAATTTTGTAATGTATTCATGTATTGTATGGTACTGTGTTGTATTGTGCTATTGAATAGCACAATACACACTGAATAGCAGCTATTCAGTGTTGTACTATAGTGTTTTCTGTTAAATTGTACTGATACTATTAGGCCACTAAATTGTAATATCCTGCCCAGGGACTACAGACGACAATGAGCTCTCTAACTAACTTTGGCACATTTACATTGAGGTGGAAAATGAAATGTTGATTAATGCGCTGTCCCTGGTAAATAAATAAATAGTAAAAAAATAAAGCTGATGCTAGACGGATACCCATAGCGTTCATAGTTTGAGGCATTGGGGGCACTGACCATTTGCGAAGTTAGGAGTGAAAAGGTGTTGCTTTAAGGGTCTTTGTTTTTTTCAACCCTTACTGTCAAGAGACTGTTCATAACAATCACAACTTTCTGCAGATGTTCCTATTAAAAGCCGAACAGAAAAGACGGGGATTGTGTCCACTGAACAGCGATCAGACATTAATGTCTGAAAAGAAATTTTCTGTTCACTAAGAGCAGCAGAGTGTTGAGTTTTGAATTACTTTGTTGTTGTGCTGAAGACAACAGGCAAACATTTGAGCTTGCCAGTGAACATCACAATTTAGGATTAACAGCCTTTTTCTACGCCTGGTCCAAAAGATAACTCAGTATTTTAGGTTGGTTGCATTGGCCACATGTCGTGGGTTCCTTTTTCTTTTATATATTGATATTGTTGCCTATTCGATATTGTTAATATAATCCATAAAACCAACCTATGGGGGAAGAGAGACAGGACACTGTATCAGACATGTTGTACCTGTGTTGCCTGTCAGCAAGGTAATGGGAAGCACAAGGAGAGTGAGAGAATGATGAGATGAGACGTCCATGTTGAGTCACTCTGAGCCCACATGGCTTCAGTGCAAGTGATAAAAGCATCAGCCGAACGCTGGTATGAGATGGGTTACAAGAGTCCGGTGTCTCAGAGATTGAACACATTCCAATTAGCAAAACAGAGATGACAAAAGACGAAAGAAAGGGATAGAGAAGTCTAAAAAGGGGAAAGTAGAGGAATGAAAAGGAAAGGATGCAAAGTAATGTAAAAGGAACTGAGAGGAAAGTAGAGGAAAGGAAAGAATAAAAAGGAAAGAGTGAGGAAAGAGGAAAGGGAATGGTGGGTGCATATAGTGCATAGATTGAGGGGCAATGTACAGTTAAACAGAAACAGCATAGCAAGACTGGTTGATGAGCTGAAGCAGCGAGAGAAAGCAATGTGTGTCCTTATCTCCTTCAGATGCTCATTTCCAGATTGATAGTTGGCAAACTCCCCGTTATCAAAGCAGAGATCAGAGTCCCTCCAATCTCTCCACTCCAACCTCTCCTCACCTCCATCTCACCACACCAGCTTTAAACTTCACTTGAAAGGAACTTGGAGTTTCACAGTGACAGTGACATGAAATCTCAACATGCTCATCTGAGTGGGGGCAGAGCTGCCAAGTGGATGTAAAAACCCTGTTTTTGTCTTTTCCTCAACAAAGACATTGCTTCAAGTGGGCAAGGCTACACTAGCCTACAATTGCGTCTGTCAAATGTGTCATGACAGACAATGTGTCCTTGTACTCAATTAATGGTTGGCATCCCCTTTGCATCCAACCGCAGCAACGTCACCGTCACATCGTTCATTAGTCTACAAATGTGGCACTTCTGTTTATCTGTTAGCTGTTCTGACAACGAGTGCGGAGGCCAGGCTGCAGACTGATGTGTGCATGTTTCTCAGTGATTACTGAGACCACAGGGAAACACTATGGACAGGAAGATGTAGATTCACAAAGGACTCACATTGTCTGTTCTGAGCTTCTTGGCAGGGCAGCCTCCATCCACAGGATGTAGCATGTAATACAGACGCACTTTGTTGGCATGTTTCCGACTCTAAAGGAAAGGAGAGAAAAGGAAAAGAAAAAAAGTTAATTAAGGCAATAAAGTAGATGATGTATATCGAGCATAATACAGTGTAATTCAAAAATAATTTGCCCTCATATGTTAGGATGCAAATTTGAACACAGCTAGAGTCTACGTTATTCACTTGCTCCTGCTCCCCTTGGAGGGTTGATCTCATATCTCATAGTATTGTAACGCCAATAAAACATAACGACAAAAGACTCCCCTGAGGGGAAATGAAAGAGGCTCTGTTAAACCACTTTTGAAATGCACCTTCATAATATGGGCAGTGAGAATGGCAGGAAATGAAATGCCCCTGTGGCTTTGGGGTTAAGATGCCAGCCAGGAGCTAAGAGTTTCCTGGTTTGAGTCCAAGAGGGGACCTTTGTTACATCCCTCTCCTGGTGCTACCTATTAAAGACATTAAATGCCCCAAAAATAGGGATTTCAGACACAGCAGAAGTTTTGTACTCGTTTCCTTTGGGGAAAGCCAAGGTCACCTTTACCTACAACTACCTAGCTCTTCTCAGGGGCGTAAATGTAGACAGTGTAGCTAGTGGCCCTACTGCCTACACAGGGGCCCGAGGTGTTGGGTAAAGCTAAAGATTTAAACAGTCGGCGGACCCTGGTGTGTGTTCTCACCTAGTAACAGACGTGCACTAGGGCCCGTCATAATAGCGTGTACCGGGGCCTGTCCTAGCTACCTTATGCCATTGGTTATTGTTCTTAGTGCTCCAATCAAACTAAGAGGAGGAATTGCATCCCTTTTTGTTCACACCAGACCTTTTTCCCCTAAAAGGTCGTACCTGACACACACGTAAACACTTTCATGAACAAGCAATGACCAGTCCATGGTAAATACTAGTTGTTAATCATAAAATTAATTTTGAACAATATGAATAAATTAGCAGAAAATGTAATATGAATGTTGATACAAAAACATCTCTACTTTTAGTTAATAAGTGATGTTTAGTTACTTTGCAGGCTCAAAGAAAAATGACCTATATGATTGGTGATTGGCGGAAGTGACCAATACATCATTCCTAGTTAAGTTATGACATTATATTGCATTGGTCAGCAAATGTCAGTAGCAAAACTAGCATCTGCAGTGTAAAACAAGATAAGAAAAAAGATTCCTTTAAAATCCTAAGATATGAATCTGATATACATCCAGTGGTGGGCCGTCAGGGCCTGCAAGGCCTTCTCTGCTGGCCTAAACAGAATCACAAAGTTATATCTATTTTATAATTTAATATTTTTTCTTAAATACACTACATGTATTATAATTTATAAAAATATTTTTCCCATTATCTTATTTTCTTAATGCATAGCTCCTGTCTTCCTCAGTTGCTCTGCTTCCAGTGCAGCTTGTTTTAAGTAGAGCTTTTATCCAATCAGATTTCACCTCTGTGTCTCTAGGTAAGAACAGAGACCCAGGCCTGCAGACGGAGGCCTGCATCCATTTGCAGTTTAAGTGAACGGGGACCTATTGTTGATTGTCATATTCTTCAACCAATCAGATCTTTAGTTTGACATGTTGGGCGTATTCTTTGACGTATCAGATCCTGCTTGCCGGCCTATAATGACGTCAGCATTAGTGCAGCTCAGTGTCTGCTGCGAGGTGCAGAGTGCGCTGTGATTGGTCAGTGGGCGAGCACGTGACTATCGTGAAACGACGCTTAACAGCAGAGGCATGTCGGGTAGTGAATCACATCACGTGATGCAGCTCAGCCAATCAAATATGGGCATTCTGACTGAGTGAGATGCACCATGACACAGGAGACTGAGACGAGGATAGACACTGCAGAGCAGTACATACAATGCTCAAGTTGTGAAAGTAAAATCATAAGATGATCTCTTTGGGCTGTGACTTGTCATTAAGGAGTGATGGTGGGTCCCACAGCCAGACCAGCTGACAACCACTGTCCTCCATCAGCACAGAAAACATTATGTTTTCCTGAATATAAGCTTCTTCATTTTCCAAATACTCTAGTACTATTCAAATGTATTGCAAGTCTCGTACCGAACATTATGTACATTTAATACGTACATAGTTACAGCCTTAGAAACTGATAATATCTGTGGTGCCACCATGTGGTTATAAGGTGGTATTTCAGCTGCAGGACAACAGTGAAGGCCTAGGTATAAAATGCATGGCCCACCACTGTATACATCCATTATACAAAAATTAAGAAAAACAAAAACTCCAGCCTGAATAACAGCTTGACCACATCAAAACATCCAACAAGTCTTTAGAACATACTCCACAACGAAATATGTTGTGTGTCCAATACGACACAAGGAAGCATGTTCTGATCTGACACCAGTATCTCCAGGAATAAATCATTTGTCAGTGCTTTCCAAAATTATCCCTGCTGGGATATTTAATCCCAGCTATTTTTGTCTTGTAGGATGTACCCATAGTAACTTCACTGGGGGGTATCCAAGAGGCATTCTATTCATGCCTGAGCCACTGCTATCCCACCATCCAAAATACCCAAAACATCCCGATGTAAGTGCTAAAACGTCAAACATCAGTACAGTCGAGTAACAGAGGGAAGAATCCATCACCTGTATCTGTTGATCTGCTAACTACACAACTCATTGTGTGTAATGATAGTGTTGGAGTCAGCATCCTGTTAACCTGACGCACCAGATGGTTGGTTACACAGAACCATCTAAGAAGCTGTCATTGGAAACTGTTTGGAAAAGGGCGGGCACTTTCAAAATACACTTTGCAGGTGAAAATTGGACGAATCATCGGAACCATCCAAATTTTGTCGAAGCCAGTCAAGAGCAGGGCAAAATCTTTTTTTCCATCGAGAAAACCCTTCAGTGTCGTCCTTTGCTCTTCCTATAATGGAGAAATGCTCTCTATTTCTGATGTATCTGATGCTGTTGTGGCATCTATGCCAACCTCTTTAGGAACCTCAATTGTTGTTTTAAGCAAACAGTTGCCTATCCTTGTTGCGTCACACGCACTTTAACCACGCCCGTAGTGTCTTCACAGGACGCCGTTTGGTCCGAACCATCCGCATTACCCTGAGCCTGACATCTCGTGATCCTGCCATTCTCGCGTGGTATCGGGAGAATCCAGCTGCCGTGCAAGGTAATAAGCACCCTGTTGCTGCAGAGTATAATCACCGTCACGTACTAATGATATTATGATGAAAACCTTGTTTAGTGCCTCGCTTTCACAATAAAGTTAACTCCCTGTTAAAATGGGCATTTGGAGCACCAAGCTGTGTCATAACAATCTGTGATTGAGCTTGTTGGAAAAAGTCACACACCATTAACTCTACCTGAACATGGCACTGTGCCTGTCCTGTCCTATCCATACACACTCCTGTTTCAAAGAGCTGGCTTCCGTTTGTGCCAGGTAGAGGCTCCATTAGAAATAGTGAGAGACTGTCAAATGAAGTGCTCAGTGCCGCTCCCTGACACTGGGTTGAATTGATCCGGTTCACTGAGGTCGAAGCAACAGTATTCTTACCAGCAGCCCATCGATCCAGCAGGATCTGATAGCACAGCCACGACAGGGGGAAGACAGGATTTGGAAGGACAGATTCGTTTATCCGAGGAGAAGCTTTGGATGTCAAGAGAAGTGATACAGAAAGAGGAGGGGAAAACCACATGTGATATAGTCATTGCAACGTCATGGGAAGCCACAGATGAGGGACAGTTTACAGTTACAAGATAGCATCTGGTGAGGCATGTGTGGGCAGGTGCCCGGTGCGTTATTCTGTCAGGCAGAAGAACAGCTACCGGCTTCTCTTCACAAGGACATGACAGACAAACTCATCCCGCCTGGTCTGGGGGTGAAAGCAAGGCTGCAGGAATCTATTTGTCTGGCCTGTCTGGTTTCTTGGCAGATATACAGCAACGTGAGCTTGGGGATGATCCAGTTTGAAAAGCGTGATGGATGCATAGCAGTTAACTCACCTTGAACCTTTCATTCAAACTGCCGCTGGTTTGTATGACTCCCTTTTAAACAAATACTGCAAGTATTTCGACATGTAAAAATGTTTTACAATTTTTTTATGCCACAAATGAATAAGAACATAATGAAGCACATTCAGTCTTGTTTACTATTCATACTGTATTAACCGTTCAATATAACATACTAATAACATAGATGTTTCAAACTCATTTGGAAGCAATTGAAATTCAATTGTTCTCCCAAACTTACTACTGAATAGCCAGAATAATGTACGTAACAGGACTTTAAAGGCAGTCATTTTTATACTGTTCAAACTGTTCAAATACGATTTTGAGATTTTTTTTGTGATGTGATAAGGGATAATGATATGGATAAAATGCTTTTCCACATTTGCCATTCACTGAGCACAGGAACCAGACAATCAAACAGAGTTTATCAATTTCCTGTGAGGTCACTGCCACATGGGCACCATTGGCAGCAGGTTGGGCTTTGATTCACCCCCTGAAACCATATCTGTTTTGTTATTTTCTTTTACCTGCAATCAATTGCACTTCTGGTTCCCAGACGCATTATTTGTTATGTCACCCTAAAGTGCATTTTTACACACTGAGGTACTGAGAGCTACTTGGGTTTCTGCAGAGCAAACACTTCCACATCCAAACTGGGTAGAAATGTTCCACTTCACCAGCTTACAGACGACATTGCAGCAATGGGGTACATATTGGCCTTCCTATTTGCACATCTTTAATTATACATATGCTAACTATTTTAATTGTGATTATATATTATTTCTTCATCTATTTGCATAACTTCCTAATTACCACCTGGGGCCAGCTGCATATGGAATTACAATTGGTATTGCATTCTGCCCAGAGTCAAGGCAATGTTAACATATCCGGAAAAGAGCTGTAGCTCTATTAAGGACTAACTGAAGCACATTAAAAGAGTTATGTATGGTAAGAATATTCACTTTCTTCCCAAACATTGGAAAGTGTCCAGTGCCCTTATTTGATCGTTCCTCAATCGTTGATATCCTGGACCCAGAACTTGT